GCGGGAAGCCTGCTTCTCCCTCTCCCACTCCCCCTGCTTGTGTTCCCTCTCTCGCTGTGTCTCTCTCTGTCAAATAAATAAATCTTTAAAGAAAAAAAAAAAGAAAACACTTAAGTACTTTACAACTGGGTATTCTGACACTTCACAACATTCCTAAGTGTTCTACAAACACCAAGCCACAAGAATCTCATCTGTAAAACAAATAAGGACCATATTTACACATGAGCATAAACATAGTCCCCCTTTTACCCACAGAGAAATAAAGGGTGAGAAGGTAAAGACCTCATGTGAGGTCACCTACAGTGCTCAGTAAAGTGGGAAACAGCCAGGTCAGAAAGTTCCCACCCCACGCTTTCTATCCCAGACCTCAGTGATCCTCATGGAGTCAGTATGTCCAAATAGAGTGACATAATTAAGAAAAGTCTTTGGAAGATTTTAACCAACTCACCTATGTAATCTGGGTATGTTCCATAGGCAAACAGATTCAGCAACTGCAAATATGCAGCATTAGCTCCTTCTGCAAGCTGAGGAGGGAAAAAAAAAATCAAACAGTTCATGAACCAAGCTGTCTACCAATCACTGCAGTGTTCAAGCAAAGGGTGATGATCATGTGCCACAGTTGACTCTTCTACTAGATGGTCCCTGAGGTCCCTTCCAACTCTGATTCTTTGGGAAAAAATAAGTAAGATTTATTTAATTTTAAATTTAATTTTTCTCTCTCAGGAATACACATTTTACACTCCATATAGCATGCCTAAGCAACTGCTTTTGTCACACACACACAAAGCAGTAAGTATTGGGAGCAGTTCAGGTTTTCTTAGAATTTCCTTGCCATTGGGACGGACGCCTGGGTGGCTCAGTCAGTTAAGCGTCTGCCTTCAGCTCAGGTCATGATCCCAAGGTCCCAGGATCAAGTCCCACGTTGGGCTCCTTGCTCAGCGGGGAGCCTGCTTCTCCCTCTGCCTGCCGCTTCCCGATTGTGCACTCTCTCTCTCTCTCACAAATAAATAAATAAAATCTTAAAAAAAAAAAAAAAAAAAAGAACTTCCTTGCTATTAAGACAAAGACTGGAGGGGTACCTAGGTGGCTCAGTCGGTTAAGCATCTGACTCTTGATTTCGGCTCAGGTCATGATCTCAGGGACCTGGGATCAAGCCCCACATTGGACTTCATGCTCAGCGGGGAGTCTGCTTGAGGATTCTCTCT